AAGATATTGTTGAATTTTTTTTTGTAGTTCCTTCGAGCAAATCAGATCCTGTTAATATTTAAAACAAAAGGTATTGTTAAAATTCCTTTTTTACAATTAAATCTAAGAAATGTATTATACATGGGTTCTTAGCAAGAAAGGAGAATAAAAAAAATTAAACGGATGTTTGATTTATTTATTTTGTATTACGAAAAAAAGGTTTTTTTTTAAAAGGCTTCTTATATAGCAATTTACAGTCAGTTATGCACATCATTCTTAACAATCACTGAAAACTTTGACACCTTCAAAGTTCTCCTTACAATTAAATAAATTATAATAACTATTTGACATTTCTTCTTTAATAAAGCTTGTTACATCTTTTTACATGTCATATATTGCTTGATCCAATTTTTGGATCGAATTCATTGCAGTAGCAAATTTGTTACTATTGAGTTTAAGTATTTGATTATATTTATAATTTCTCAATCTATGTTATAACAATTTTTTTTTTTTTTTTCATAGCAAGCCTAGTTTATAGAGACATAGTTTGAAAAAAAAGGGAAGGACAGGACGACCAGACGAATCGTAAGTTTCTCGGGCTCTCGATTCCTTCCCTTCACAAGTTGCCAATGACGATCACGCGCGACATTTACCTAAGCGGAACTGACGGCATCGATGTCATCGACGACAATGACGACGGACCCGAACTGAGACTCAGTTTATCTAACTCCTCGTCTGCTTTGTTATTTTTAAAGTCTTGCTGGCAATACAAAAACTTGTTCCACTCATCCATCCTTGGGTGTGCTAAATGCTGAAAACAAAAATACCGCTGTAAATAAATAAAATACACGAAAAATCGTGTAGTTTAAATGCATGGAAGCTACTATTTTACCTCAGCAACATCGTACACCCAAATCCGGCCACTGTCATCACCAACAGTGATGTGAAATCCACTGGGCGCCCACGACACCCGATTCAACGCTGGACTACCGTCCACCATGGCACTAGCCGTAGGAACTTCCGTGTCCTGATTGAGATTCCACAAATCCAGTCTGCCGGAATCGTCAACAGCCGCAAAGACAGCCGGATGAGTGGGCGACCAGGCGACGTCATACACGTAGTCGCTATTGTGCTCGAACGAGTACAGCGGCTTGTTCTCCTTGAGGCTCCAGAGCTTGATGGTCCAGTCGAGGGACGAGCTGAGGAACAAGTGGGAGAAGTCGATGCCACCGGGGACAGCGTGAGTATCGACGCCTGTGATCGGGCCTTGGTGGCCCTCATAGGTCTCGGTCACGCCTGCCCTTGTGCCATGCCGACAAGCTGTAAGAAAAAAAAAAAAACCCACGATTTTTCCCACACGAATCGAAAAAAGAATCAATATACATCGTTTCAGAAAAGACATGGTGCCCAACTTACCCGAATAAATTGATCCGTCCTCGCTACCGACCACGAAATTATTTACATCCCCGCTGGGAAAAGCGAGCTGCGTGACCGCTATCTGTTTCGACTGTTTGTTCTGTAGCTCAAGAGTCTCCTGAGGCTGTGACAACATGTCCAAGCTCCAGGAGCACAGTTTGCCGTCGGTAGATATACTGATTAAGTTGTGTGCATTTTGTGTGCCGACTACTTTCAAACAGTAGACCGGATGCTGGAACAAAACAGATAGTTATCCTTAAGGAATCTTGCTCTCTCGTAACATAAATTAGAAAAAAAAAAAAAAAAAAAAAAAAAAAGACACCAACAGTATGGGCAGTTGCTGAGAGCGGTGTGCGCTGTATGGGCGTTCTCTTCTGTACCCTGTTGTCCCAGAGCACGACTTGGCCGGAATAAGTGCTACCGAGTATGAGATTCGGATGAAATCTGGCGAACGTTGTCGATATAACGGGCGATTGGCAATGAAATATAAACTCGGGCGTGGTCTTTTTAAACTTGGTGTTCCAGACGAGACAGACGCCGTCCGGATCGTGAGGCGCGTCGTCGTTGTTGATGTAGGCAGCTGCGAGGAGCTCCGGAAATTGAGGCGACCAGTCTATCGCCGTGACACACCGGTTGCGCGACCAACGCTCGTCGAAGAAACAACGATTCAACCAGAGACACTGGTGGCTCTTGTCGTCCCTGTGTAATGTCGAACAAGGGATTATTGGCATTTTTTTCCTCCATGTTTTTTTTTGTTTTTTTTCAGTAACTTACATTCCGTCATCGCCGTCCATGGTGCCAGTGTAATCCGCGTAGATGTTGACGGTCTCGGCGAGAGCTCGCTCGACCACTCGGCTGGACCTGTCGATGAAACGCTTGAACTCCTCCGACAGCATGACCATCTGTTTCTCCTCTTCGCTGAGCTCCCTAACTGTGACATTACACTCGAACCATCAGTCATCAACATCGAAACCAAACAACAAACAAAAACCGCACAGGGACAATTATTGCGCGACTCACCTTCCTTTGGTTTTTCCATTTCTTTCTCCTTCTCGACTTGGGTAATGGCGGGTTGGACTTCCTTGACTTGGGGCAGTCCGTGGGGCAGTATGCCCGGCGGCAGTTTGCTTTGGAAGCCATCGAGATGGGGCAGACTGCTCTCCTCATCCTCGGCTTGGCCGTCGTCATATGTCAAAACTGTGGTGAATAAGTCGTTCCCACCAACTCGCGAACTAAGTACTACGGCCTAACTCTAATGGCTTTGCCAAGACACAAATTTTCTATTTCCATAAACTAGCTATAATCACGTACAATTAACAATATTACGACATCAAACGTACTCTGAATGCTTTTTTATTTTATTTTTTTTGTAACTAATCCAGAATACAACATAAAATTTGGTGAATCATAGCAAAAATTAAGTGTTCACAACTACGGAAACGTACATCAAATGGAAGATTATAATCTACGGGAAAACCAAATGTGAATAAATGTTTTTTGTTTTTTTAATTGTTTTCGACGTGCACGAATATTTCAAACATACGTGGGTTTATTGGATCATATGAATGGGCAAACATTAAGGGCAACTTTTTTTCTACTTCTTATGCGTTTAAGGATTTTAATGCAATTGTATTTTTTATCTTTGGAACATAATAAATAAAAAGCATTAATTAACTATTTAGGAAAAGTTTAAAATAAAAATTTTTTTTTNAAAAAAAAACATTTAATGTGGATTTTTGACTAACGCCATTTAATCGATGAACACTAAATCTTTATTGGCTTTGTTTTTTTAAAGTTAAACCACGTGTGTCAATGTAATCTTACCTGTCCCATTTGGTTACTAATGTTTTAACAAACCGATGTTATTCCACTTTCCAAAGTGATGTATGCCGGGAGTAATTAAAGAAAAAGCCAAATTTTTAGTTAAAAAACGCGTCCAACGTTTACAGATTCCGCGCACGCCCTTTTCGTGCGAGCTACGTACCTGGTGTGCCACCGATTGATTTCCTCCTGGAAAACGGATCTCAATGTTTCATTGGCAGCTCTCGAAATGCTCTCCGGCTTGGCCAGAACTCGCATACGCGAAACAGGTATACACATACAATTGAGTTTTTTTATTCATCCTGACTACAATGGTTTTAACGTACAATTTTAACGTTTACGCGTGTCATTCGTGAGAAGCGAGGAAACTAACAGGTTTGACACAAATAAAAAATTCACATCGCCGTATATTCGAGCCGAAAAGTTACAAGTATTGTTTCAATTGTAGACGCCTTGGAGTGTAAAAGAGCAGTAAAGTGGCTGTGCGATTATATAGCCTACCAGTGTTGGCGGCCACCACCCGCACATTCCAAAGATCTTCACTCGTCCATCGTCGCTGCGTTCTCTTGTCTAACTACTTGGCTCACAGCCCATCCGCAACTGTTGCAAGTTAGTTGACGATGGAAAAAAAAAAAAAAAGAAAAAAGAAAAGAAAAAAATTACATTTGACAAATTTCATGTTTAACAGGACAAGGAATGCTTGGCGACAGTCTTAGAAGTCGTTGAGTTGGGCGTTTCGGGGTCGAAATCGGTGGGAAAGCCCGGCGAGCCGATAAAAATGAAGGACGCAAAAGAGCTGAAACCGGCATCGATGCGCGTCAGAGATGCTGCCGATGCCCTGCTCACGATAATTCTCGAGCAGGTCGGTTACTTTCCAAGCGTGTGCGGTGCTCAGTCGCTTTCCTCGTTGCTGGACGAGGTATCTCTGTTGCGCCATTGCAACAGTTGGCCCACCAACGGCGACCAAGTATCCCGGGAACAGGCGGTCGAACGTTTTCGTTACTTCGTAGCCGATAACGCGACCATAATGGCACTTCTCGAGGAGCCGCTCGGTAACGATCAAGACCCACAGCCTACGGTTACGGCGCTAATACGTGGACCCTTTGGCCGTCACGCCTGGACCATGCAGTTGCGGCATTTGCCTCGGCATCGATCGATTGTGCGCAGCTCCAACGCAAATCCCGGTCGGCCCCTGCCGCTGCATGAATCTCAGCCCCCTGTCGATTACAAGCCAAGATTTTTCCCGGACAATGTGGACAAGATACCTCACTGCGTCGTGTACGTATATATATGGAATTACGAATTTTGTTTTCGCTATACGTGCTCATTTGTTGAAATATTTTATGTTAATGAACAATATAGGGACGAGTCGATACCAAGTTTGGAGGCGATTATGAACGAGAGCGACTCCTTAATGAACGATCACCAGGTACTTCACCAATTGCTCGACTACGCAATCGCTAGTGAGGCAAATTTCAACGAAGAGAGCGCGAACCGCGTGGCTACGGAGAAAATGAGCGAGTGCTCACCGCCGAAAATCTGCCACGAGTTTCAAACGGCCAGGCTATTCTTGAGTCACTTTGGTTTTCTAAATCCCGACTCGAGCGCTCAAAGCGAACTGGTCACCGGAGGCTTGATAGCTCTCGATCCCACGATAGCAGGTTTCGCCTCAGATCTCGAAAGTCTGGACCACATTAGCGCTCGAACTTGCGATACCGTGCACGTTTTTTATGTCAAAGCAGGCCAAGCTTCTCCAGAAGCGATACTCACCAATGTTGTACGTGTTACCATTTCCTCGAGTTTTCATAAAATCAAACGAGTCTAAATTTTACGAGTAGTAGGTACAATTTTTTTTTTTTTTTTTTTTTTAATTATTTTTCAGCTGCACGAGAGCAGCGTGTCATCCAATTTTCTGGAGTTTCTGAGCTCCCTGGGCTGGCCAGTATCGGTATCTTCGCATGCAGGTTGGACTGGCCACGTTCAAACTTCGTGGCGCTCCACGCCGAGCTCCCATCAGGCCAATATTCCTCAGCCTTCCGAAGACAATGACGACCACGGAGGTGCCCTTTACAACGGCAATACTCACGTACTGTATTGGGCAGACGTCAGCTCGGAGGTGGCCTTTGTCGTGTCCACCCTCTCGTCCAACGCGACTTCGATCCCGGCTGGCGTTGATAGCAAACACAACGACACCAATAATGGTAAGCGCTTACTTTTCTATCTTTCCACTTGAATCATATTTGTGTGATGTATGTGTAAAGGTCAGTGGCTGTCCTGATACATTATTTTCCTTTTATTTATTTATTTTTGTTAATAGTGTGGTTCGAGCGCTGCGTCAATAACAGCAACGCCTCGCACATTTTTGCAAATTCTTCCCCCATATCGGGTCAAACTCGCGCGATGTCCCTCGATTTGGAAAAACAGTCTGCCAACATGTCTTCGGCTTCAGCTGGGTCCGCTCAATCCGAGCCAATCAGACCACGTAGAACGACGAAACATTCCTTACCACCACAGACAGACACGAAAATAATGGTCGTGTGGCTGGAGAGTCTGGAAGACCACGTGCAATTTCCGATTTGTAAGTAAAGCCCTACTTGTCAAAACAGTAAAGAACACCGATCACACACGTTGCAACAAATGTAACACAACTTATCAACAGCGGGACTGTTACCTCACACAAATACGGGCCTGGAACATTCGCGGGTAGTGCAGGCGAGCGACGTGCACGTGATATACCTGCAAGCCCTCGCGAATGGGCTGATGCACGTTAAGCTTCAAGGTCCCACCTCACGCATGAATTTCGCCACGCCGCTGATCGACGGTATGGTAGTACCTAGACGAGCCCTCGGCTCCTTGGTACGTCAGACTGCACTCAACATCGGCAGAAGAAAACGATTGGACAACGATAGGTTAGCACTACACATTTTCAAGTGATTGATTATCATTATCTTGCACTCATTTGACTGATGTAATGTACTAATGCATGATTATTGCAGTTATCATCCACCGCACGTTAGACGACGATTGAAGATCCAAGACATGGTACAAAAGTACAAGCTGAATCTTCAACAACCAGAACTGTTGACTTTGTTGTTCAGTAGTACCCAACTGTAAAACAATCATGTCGATAGACAAAAGCATATATTGATAATTAAAAATGTGATACACAATACTTTATACGCCGTGTTTAATAAATACTGTACTTTTATCTTTAAATTAATGTGTACGTTCTTTTCTCCTCTTTCTTCAACAATTAAGGAGTTTTCGCCCACTTGGAGATCTTTTTCATTTTTCGAATACTTTCACACGTTGAAATGAACAAGAGAAAGATAAATGTTTTACCAATCGATAGTGCATGATTTTGTGCTAAAACAATTTTATCTTAGTGGCATATGCTAGTTAATATTCTTGACGAAACTGCTGTTCCATTCAAATCAACCACGATTATAAAAAAAAAAAATACTATTAATCTGTGAGTACTTATCAACGTTTAGATACTTATAAAACTAGCATGTGGTGACAAGTCGTTTGGTCATGTTCGTCGTTGACATCTTGTTTATGAGGCATTTAATGTTTTCAGCTTAGTATGAAAAAATATTTTTTTCCAACGTTAATAATTTTAATGTTTATGGCGTATTTATAAAAAAAATGTAGGATGAACAATTGAAAGTGTCATT